TAGTTGGACAAAATAACAAATCAAGTTCTTAACCTCCAATATGTTCCAATGTGATTGTTCGTTTGCAATCCTCAATCGTTGTTCGCTTCCAATAAACGGACAACACTTGGAATTGACTATCTGCATCGGTGAAGTTATCATCGCGAAGAAATCGGTCGGAAAATGATTTCTTCAAGTTCTCTTCACATTCCGAATTCTCCATAGCAACAATGCCAGCCACCATTGAAACATCACCGATGCATTCGAGGATGGTTAAAGACCGCCATACACCTGTATGATTGAATTCATTGAAGGGCTGAAATCGTTTCAGTTCCTCTTTTGAATTACACATATTGATGAGAATCACAATAAGCAAATCAAAAATAATACCATGACTATTTTTATCATTATTGATAATATCAACACTAAAAGTAATACTAATAGTTACAGTAATGATAATAATAATAACAAGTAGAGCCACAATAGTTAAGACAATACCAGTAATATTAGTAACAGCAATAACTGAAATAATATCAAGCAACGACTGCACGCAGAATGAAGTATCAAATACTAGTAGAATAAGCTTTAATGTCACCTAACCTGCTGTCCACTTTCGACGATAAACTTCTTGAATGCGCGAACAATACGCTTCACGTGCGTTGAGATATGCGAATAAGAATCGACAGAATTGACGAATGAATCGGTTGTTGTTGATGAATGTTTTGTAATGAGACCAACATTGACATTGCCGTCGACATCATAACCAATCGCAAAATTATATGTGTTATAACACGATCGTGTCACATTACCATAACGAATCTTCAACATTAATTCATTCATTTCATTTAGCGATTCGCAAATCAACACAATCATTTTGACGATACAAAATTGACGAATTTCAGCTAGTAATTCTCCAAAATACCACATTAATCGTGAGAGAAAAATACTTCTAATGACTTTAGAAATACTTCAAAAAATTCCAAGGAACTGCTGCAATGCTAAGTACTTTCAAATCGTTTTAATATTCAATTTCGGGGGTGATGAAAACTAAGCAAAAAGCAGAACGAACAATGATCAAACGATGAATCGGTAAGTGAATTTGAAAAGAGATGAACGAAGGAGAGAAATTTCTCAAATGTTCCAAATGAAATAATATGAAATGTAGATACTGCTCCATTTCTCACTTAATCTTTCAACAACAATTCTACTTGATCAAAGAACAACAGAAAGTTACCGGTTGCATGATTTGAGATGCTTTCAGATTTTGGGCATTTTCAATGTTCGCAGCTGACATTTGATCTTTGAGAGCATTAAACAATTCCAATGAGCGATCACTTTTCAATTTCAGTTGTTCATCGTATTTAAGATGTGCTAAATTGAGTCTCTCTTCATTGATCAAATCATCGATCGCCTGTTCATACTCTGGATCCATTTCCATCTCAACGATTAAATTTTTCTTAGCATATTTCACTTCCTTCAGCACAACCGTGTCAACACCGTCTTCACACCCGCGATCGCCGGCATCACACATTACTACCTAAAAACAAAATCGCCTTATACACTTCGCTAACTCACCCATCAACACTAATCTTAAGATTATACACTGTAGATCAGTTTTGTCTGCTTTTGTCTGCATATTGCAATGAAATAAGTGATATGAATTCTAATCCATTAAAATTGTTACAAAACCAATCCCAAAACTGGTTCAATCTACAATATCTGATGATATTCCAAGTCTAGAGAGACTGATTTGTGGGATCATTTCTATGCACTCCGTTCCAATGAGCTGACATTCTGATATTCTCCGAATGGCTGGCGATACATACATACACGCAAAACAATACAATACAATCGGGTGGAAGTAATGAACGTAAAAATACCACGAGGAGAAAATGGGCGCAATCAATAGCGTGAATTCTATAATACCCATAAAAACGAAAACGAGAACAATAGTGATAACAATATTTATTTCAATGAAAAAAAAAAACAACAAATGAAGAAACGTTTGCATAAATTATGCTTAACAACAACAATGTGCTCAACAAATTATCTGCAACAGTCTCAACAATACAAAAGAAGAGAATAAAATTGAAAATTGAAATCCGAACATTGCCCAACCATAGGGAGCTACAGAAAATACAACGAGGATTGCTATGGAACAGTGGCTAAAAACCGATTCAGGTTTGGGACTCAACGGCAATTCTATATTTTCCAACAGTTTATGATGCTAAACTTGCGACTTCAGTTTCAAAACCAATTTTTTTTTGCACTCAAAACGCATCAGTGCATTTTCAGAAGCAATTGTGTTTGCAGTCTACATCCAAAAGCCACTGAATAACAGCGAATCGAATAAATAGAGCGCAATTCTGATCTTTAATACTATCGATCCAATTGAATGACCCATTCACAATGTTTCGTTTGTGGAAACATGTCGACGGGTGTGATTGATGTCAATCGAAACGCTTCACCAGCGTACTTC